AACCTTATTTTCATGCCTTCTTGTAAACCATCAATGGTGTAAAACTATTATACCAATATTATGGAGTGAACCTACAGGACAAATAGAAAAAGATTTTTGGGCCAAAATGATAAAGAACATTAAAGAAATTATGCCAAAATTAAACGAAAATAAATTATCCCCTGAAGATGAGAAACGTGTTATGAATATTGCTAAGTCACATCTTTTATCAAAGATCTGGTATCCAGCATATCTTCTACCTCCTGATACAAACACAATCACCGAATTAAGTGACTTAATAACGAAGTGGATCAAAGACAAATCCCCTCCCAGGTCAAATGGCATTGAACTCCCAAAAATTCAGGATATGGTTGATGCTAGATTAGGACTTATCTGGTTAAAGTTATTATCTAGCAATGATTTGTGGGCAAAAATTGAAAGGGAGTTTATCGAAGAAGAATTAAAAGAACACAATGTTTCTATAGAAACTGCATTAAAAAATCCAGTTAAACTTAATATATGGCCTTTAGAGTGGAGGCCATATGTTACAGCCTGGAAAAGATTAAATGGGAGGATTCCGATTTCGACAAATTCCTGGCCATGGGATCAAAAATTAATTGAGATAGCAAATCTCAAAGGCAATGAATATTCGGTAATGGAAGCAATAGAATATTTACGTAATATCCAGGATTTCTCAACCAGGGATGCGTAACTTATATAACAGTATTATTATTATAATTTTTATAATTATTATGCTTGATATTATTGATATCACGATTAACATAATTGATATTATCATTATTATTATTTGTCGGAGATGATGCTGAAATCGGATGATGCTGAAATTTTGACTTATATTATTATGAAAATTTAAGTTTTTTTATAGTTAGGTTAATGTTTATAATTAAAGAGTATGGTGGATTTTAGTAGTGGTTATATTTTTCAAATTAAGGTTTCAAATTTCAGCATCATCCCGTTATTTATTATTATTGATATTATTGTTATTATTGATATTATTGATATATTATGTATTATTATGTTTTATGTATTATTATTATTATTATTATTACATTATTATTAGTATTATTATAGTAGCTAATAAAAATTCACTATTAAAATATAAAAATTAAAAAATTTTAAAGTTCATTAGTTCTAATTATGATTCTTTCGCAAATGCCAGTTATTAATTTTTTACTATATAAAATTTTGGATATAATATCAAGAAAAATAAGTGATTGTACATATAAAATTACTCATCTTTAGTTCAGAATCCACTTAAGTAGGTTGTTTAATTGCATTTTGAATTTATTCGATCGACTTGATTGGTTACCTACAGTAGATCGATCGATGTTTTATTATTTAGTCGACTAAATCGCTATGTAGATTTTTACAACATCGATTTAGAGTGTTCTCAAACAACCACTTAAATGAATTTTTCACTGATCGAAATAGTGCACAAGTATTATGACATAATTTTAGCTATTCTCATATCATTTTTGAATAAAAGCAATAATACGAATGATGACATTGTTACGAAACCATTGCTTGAGTAGATTCTAATGGGAAAACATAATCAATAATTATAAGTTTGGATAAGCTAGTGTAAAAAAGGTATTTCGGGGCAAAAAGTTTTTTGCCTAAAATGATAAACTCACTGATCATTTTTCATTATTTTGGATTTTCTCTTTGATACAAAGAACTATGTTCTTAATGACAAACAGCTAACAGGAGGAAACGTTGATGTTACACAACTGATCCTTCACCCGGTGTGCAACATATTTTACAATACCAAATCATTCCGCTAGTACATGTTATGATAATAATCCCACACCATTTTTATTATAATAAAATGGTGTGGGATTATAATCATAACATGTACTAGAAGAATGATTTGGTATGTTGCACACCGGGTGAAGGATCATCAACGTTTCCTCCTGTTCAAACAGCTCGTTTGATCAATTGAAAATAATTTCCGCTAATTAAAATTTAATTTCCGACATATCAACGACATATTTTGACTCATTGATTGAGGCGCTTGAGAACGCCTTTAGTCGGTCGATAGTTTAAGCCTCGACTACTAACACTAATTTAGACCCATTGATTAAGACGCTTAAGAACGCCATATTATTATAAGCATTTTATCATCAAAATAATTTGTCGGTTCACTCCATAATATAAGTATAATACAGTAATTTTTCACCATTGATGGTTTACAAGAAGGCATGAAAATAAACTTTTATAATCTGTACGAAAACTATTAAATATTTCAAAAAGGCACACTGAAATATTGTGAATTTAGTATAACGATAAAAACTAGTTTTGTTTCCGGTATATAATCAATGTTAAACGTTGTAATCAATTAGAAAAAAGCAGATTAAGAGACGACTATTACTCAAGATCGATCGATTATTTGGCACAAATGAAGTTTAATGTTTTATTTAACAGGACAAGAATCTGACTTTGAAGTAAATTAATCTGGGAAACTTTGGGTGAAAAGCCACCATTACAACACTTAAACGAAATAATTTTTATTTATATTTTTCCAAAAGAAAAAACATGAGCCTATAAAAAATATATTATTTTGATAAGTTGAGACAATGATCCAGAAACGAAATTAATTCTCAATGCTTTAAAACAACTTATTTCTAACGAAATTTTGAGCAATAAAAACATCAGTTTAAAATGATGAATCTTTCTTAATACTGCTCTTTTTCGTTAATAATACGTTACATAATTTAAAATTATATTTATATATACTATATACTTTTATTTTATAAGAATTAATGTAATTTCAAAGTCAATGTAGTGTTCTTGCGAAATGCATCAGTTAATGCTTTTCTACCTTCTGGTACAAATATATTATTACTAAGATCCAAATAAGTCAGCGTGGTGTTTTTGCAAAGTGCATTTGCTAATGCTTTTCCACCTTTTAACCCAATATAATTACATTGAAGATCCAAATAAGTTAGTGAAGTGTTTTTGCAAAGTGCATCTACTAATGCTTTTCCTTCGTCAAATCCGAGTCATTTCCATCAAGATTCAAATAAGACAATGTGTTGTTCTTGCAAAGTGTATCTGTTAATGCTTTTATTCCTTCTGATATATTACTATTCTGAAGAAGTATATCTAGGGACTCGAAAAAGTCATCCTCTATCATTGCTGCACAAAATCCAAGATTATTACGCCCAAGGCACAAAGAAGTCAGTGTAGTATTCACACAAAGCGCATCTGCTAATACTTTTACTCCTTCTGACTCAAGATTATTCAAACGAAGATCTAAAGAAGTCAGCGTGGTATTCTTGCAAAGTGCATCAGCGAATTCTTTTCCGCCCTCCGATCCAAGTTCGTTAAAAATTAGATTCAATGAAGTCAATGTAGCGTTCTTGCAAAGTGCATCTGCTAAGGCTTTTCCTCCCTCGAATCTAAGATTATTATAGCCAAGATCCAAAGAAGTCAGCGTGGTGTTTTTGCAAAGTGCATCTGCTAATACTTTTTCTCCTTCTGGCCCAAGACAATTATCATAAAGATTCAAAGAGGTTAACGTGGTGTTCTTGCAAAGTGCATCTGCTAATATTTTTCCTCCTTCTAGCATAAGAAAATTATAGCTAAGATCTAAAGAAGTTAGAGTGGTGTTTACGCAAAGTGTATCTGCTAATGCTTTTCCAACATCTAATTCAAGATCATTGCAACCAATATTTAAAGAAGCTAGCGTGGTGTTCTTACAAAGTGCATTTGCTAATGTTTACCTCCTTCTGACATAAGGAAATTATCACTAAGATCCAAAAAAGTTAGCGTGGTGTTCTTGCAAAGTGCATTTGCTAATGTTTTTCCTCCTTCAGACATAAGAAAATTATGGCTAAGGTCCAAAGAAATCAGAGTAGTTTTTATGCAAAGTGTATCTGCTAATACTTTTCTGACGTCTGATTCAAGATCATTACAACCAAGTTTTAAAGAAGTTAGCGTGGTGTTCTTGCAAAGTGTACTTGCTAATGTTTTTACTCCTTCTGATATAAGGAAATTATCACTAAGATCCAAAGAAGTCAGCGTGGCATTTTTGTAAAGTATATCTGCTAAAACATTTCTTTTTTCTTCTGGTTCAAGATTATTATAATGAATATTTAAAGACAACAGCGTAGTGTTATTATAAAGTGCAACTGCTAATGTTGTTATATTAATAGTATTTTTAAGTGTTAAATATTTAAGATTTTTGCTTGCTCGCAAAAACATTACACCTAAAGAACATTTGACAGCATTTGCAAGTTCATCATCCCCTCTGAAATAATATTCTTCATTTTCAAGCCAATTTTTGACTCCTCCATCTGAATAAGAACCAACAGAGGTAGTATAACTTTCGTACTCAAATAATGGTTTTTGATAATTTGAAGGACTGATTTTAAAGGGAATCAAAAGGGCTTGCTCTTTAGTATTTAATGCTAAAAGATATATTCTTATAAGTCTTTTATCACTAAAATAATTTGTACTGTAGGTTCACTCCATAATATTGGTATAATAGTTTTACACCATTGATGGTTTACAAGAAGGCATGAAAATAAGGTT